CAAGTCCACAAAAACATGTAGACTGGTTGGACAAACAAACCTGAGGTTTGACTAACAGACGGACTCTCCTTTACAGCACCCAGGCACAGACTTTCCTGGGGAAGTTGAGGAGTGTGATCCCCCTATAGTTTCCCCCTTCTTAAAGATGGGAACCACCACCCCCACAACATCCAGAGGGTTCAGGAACTGAGGGCAAACCTCATCCACCCAGGGGCCCTACCACCAAGGAGTCATTTAACTGCTTCAGTGACCTTACCCCACCAATGATTGGTGAGCCGTTCCCCTTGTCCCCAGATTCTGCTTCCTCTATTGGACATACCAGTGGGAGTACTTATGGACGCCCTTGCATTCGAACATGGTCTTTGTAATGGACAAACTGAGGTTTGCACAGAAGTCCAGTAACAGAGCACCGCTGGGGTTCTGGATCCAGGCCTCACTGTCATTGCCCACACGAGTGTTGAAGGCTCCGAGTAGGACACCTGGGGACATCTCCCATAAAGAGAACATAAGCAGAAAATGACTACAAACCATAATAAATCCCTTTGATGTCTGAATGCATTCAGTGTTGTGAAATAAAAGCTTCCCTCAAAAGTAAAAACTAACAAGCCTGTTTTGAACATGTAAAAGGAGTAAAAGACAATATACGACAGATATCTGAAGATTCAACAGAAAATAAAAAAGAATATTTATTTTATGTCCAAAACAGTCACCCTGTTCGTTGGTGTGATAGGAAGGATTACATCTGATTGGTTTTTGCTTCAGGGATCTACATTTGGCACAGTTACACAGAAAAACCTCATTTGTTTTGTAAATGAGATTTCAGCCCATTTTCTGATTGGTGCCGTATTAATAAGCTGATTTAAACCGTTTAAATGTCCAGTCACCACATCTACATTTTCTGCATACTGATTAGTTTGCTCTTTTCTTCCACGTTGTGCAGTTTCCAGTCTTTTTTTCCTACGTACATTACAGACGCTGAGTAAAAATCCAAATCTTACAATCATGGTAAAATGACAGTGCACAGTTTCACTTTTAGGGTTTTACATATCAGGAGATAATTTCATGTTTAGGTTGTCCCAGTTTAGTTCTAGTTAGTTTTGCCTCAGTGTCCATCTGCCTTTTGTTTTTTTACCAGCCTCTGATGAACAGCTCGCTGTTCGTTAAGTCATAGCTTTGCCTCCTTCTGGGTCCGCACCTGTAACTCCACACAGTCTGCAGCATCTGTCTCTGACAGCAGTGATGATTCAGTGATTCATGCAAAGCGGTCTAAGCTCTGCAGCAGCTCGGTTTGTTTTACAGCTGTTCTGTCGGAGATTTGCTGCTGTGCTTGGATCTTTGTCCTGTTGATGACAGTTTGGTCCAAGCTTTAGATGTAGGACAGGCATCCACTCAAAGCCCAAATCATCGTCCTTCCACTGCCGTGCCCACAGTTCGTATGAGGTGTTTGGTTTCCTCCAAACGTGCTGCTGCTCATGATGGAGGAAACCCAAGATCCATGTTGGTCTTGCAACCTTTCCAAACCAGCTGCACTTGTTCAGTCTGTTTGTAATTGTGCTGTCGTGCAGCTCTTGGGTGTTCCTGTAAGCTTTGAACACGCTGACCTCTGGTTGAGTTTGCTGGATGTCCACGTTCAACATCAGAAAAATGCTAAACCCTTCCATCGTCGTACCAACAAGGAAGAGAACGCTAACCACAAACTGGCTGAGCAGGTTTACTGTATGCGCATCAAAATAAATCTCCTAAATTAGTTTGTCATGAAGTCACCGCTGCAGACACCAACCACGGTCTTTTATGGTTTGGTTCCTGCAAGCCATGTAAAAGAAATCTGTTTCCAGCACTGCATGGAGCACATGTTTCAGGATTTTGAGCTTCAAACAAACGTTTCACAATAAAAACAACAGCAGGATGAGAGACATAGACACAGGACACAGAAATAACCAGTCACAGTTCGGTTTAGCACGTAGGTCTTTTTATCATTTATTATATAACGTTTGTCTTATCAGTAAATCAGGATAAAAGTTGTGAATGTACTTACGAGCTAGTGTGCCGGCCATGTTTGTTAAAAAGCTTTGCACCTTCCTGCTGCTGCTCTGCACTGTACCGACGGGACCGGTCCTTCCTTTAATACAACTGTAATGCAACAACAGCACTTAGTTGAAGATGCTGCAGGGCAGGTTCCAAACCCGCTGTCATTGGCCAGCCACACAGTGATGTCACAGCCTAAACAACCTGCAGTCCCAGAATGACGCTGAGCCTGAGATTTCTCTTTTAGAGGAACTCTTACCCTGGT